TTCTTGTTTCTAACTTAACTTACAATTAGTTCACAAATTCATTAAGTCTTTTTAATTAATTTTTAAGTCTTTTAAATTAATTTAGAATAAAATGTGTTATATATATGATATCTATTTAATTCCATCTATTTAATTTCCATTTATTTAATCTATTTAATTTTTTTGATAATGTTTTATTTATTTACTGTAAAAATGTATTGTTTTTTTAAGATTTATTTCCTTTTGCGCAGATTTTATTGTGTTTATCGATGATTTAGATTTTTTATAAATTAGGAAGAATTGTTTTTATCATCGCGTAATATTTTTTCTAGATATATTTACCGTACATTAAGTTATAAATTCTTGATATCGAAACGCGAAAACATTTGTCTAGAAAAAGAATGAGAAACAATCTCAACCTACAATTTTATAATTGCCGTTATTACGTGGAGCAAAATTAGAAGCAATTTACGTGTGCGTTTATTTTTCGTATATTTTTTTCAGGCGGTTGCAGCATTGCTTAATCTTACAGATATCGCTAATTTTTGTACACATCTCTATATCGGAATTGATAGAAAGTATCTCAGGTTGACTATTCTCTTTCCTAGGGGTAAATGTTAATAATATATCAATGTTCACAAACAACTCGTCGTATTTTCTTTACGAATGAATGATGTTTGAACTATCTGAAAAGTGTCAGCTTTAGAATTCTGCTATTTTAGAAGTGTATTCGAGAGACATTCCGGAATAAGCGTAACGTGTACTCCTTTCGATCGAGTATTCCGTTTCACGAGAAACAGCGAAGAATGGGAGGAAAAATAATAGGGTTGATTAACTCCGATTCGATCACACGCGACGCAGGTGCAATTGCAAGTAAATCGAAGTATCATGCACCTCCTCTTTCACGAATCCGTAGTATAAGATGAAGGTCGACAGTTTCATGGGTAAATGTCCTCGAATGTCCTTGAGCTGGTGCGCAATGCGCATCATAGACGATTCCTCGCGTTCTTATCGGCCATTACAATGTCCCTCCACACAATGTCTTGACCATATATGTATACATAGAGTGGACCAAAAGTCTGGAAACGGTCTCATAATACATTTTGGAAAAATGTTTCAGGAAATTATAATGTTTAAATAAACGTAACAGCAGTACGAGTTTGAATATGGCGTTGCCAAGGTCAGGGCAAGGTTATCTTGAATTTTTTAAATGGAATCCATATTTTTTATATAAATCGATTCCTCGCAATATTTTGCATAAAAAATTATAAGGGTAAGATGGTAAAAAAATAAATATTTTTATATAGTAGTATATAAAATTTGCAATATTTGTGTATCTGCTTCTAGAACGATAGTCATTTAAGACTCGTATTATAGAAGTAAACGATCTAGTTATAAGTAGTAAAATTTCATAATTATCATTATTTATATGAGATGTCTAATGAGATATGCGGTTTGAACTGATTTTTTCTAGATAAAAATGAGGTATCCCTATAGTATTATAAAATTATAAGTGATTGAAAAAGATTTCACAAAATTAATTTTAAAGAAATAAACACAAATGATAAAATTATATTTTTTAAATTTAAAGTAGATATTTTTTAAATAGAATTTATGCTTTGAGGTTTAAATATAATGTCAAAAATTGGAGAATATAATAAATAATGATTTCTCTTGATATATCGTAACTGAGAAAAACTGACTTTAAGATGATTATAATTACTATAAGTAAACAAACAAATATACAAAGTATCCCAGAATTAATAATAAAAAGAGGCATATTATGCAGATCAGAAGAAGGTAAAATTTGTTTTATAAACATATGTCCGAAAGCGCACCCCTTTGAGCTACCCTCCGAAATTTTTGATACAAATAAATAAAACGCACAAAGATATATATGTATATACATATATGTACCAATTCTTATAAAATTCAAAACTTAAGTTTAGTTAACAATATACAGAAAATTCGAATTTTTTCAAAAAATGTTGAGGAGTGTAGCTCACAGGGAAGCGTTTTTAGACATATATTATATGTATATTTATAAGACAATTTTATGTTTTTTTATTAGATAACATAAGCGCGCGTTTCGCGCGCATCATTAATTTTATATGCTTTGATTTAATATTATTTAGAACGACTGTCAAACTATTAACTTTCGCAATGACAGTTGTTTGATATGAATATAACACACTATGCGAATCCAGACAACTAATCAGCAACGCGGAAAAGCGACAACAATACATGCGAGAATCAATTTTGCATGCCTTTTTTACAAAAGGAGAACTTGTAGATTATGCATTTTTTTATTATCAATTCTGGGACATTGTATATTATATATAAAAGGTAAACTTTATATATAAAATAAACAAAATTACGAAAGCTTTTTAAATATAAATAAACTTGAGATAAAATATCAAGAGCTAAGCGCTATAAGTAGGATGTCTATATTTTATATTACAAATATAAAATATGCTATAATTATAAATTATAAATATGCTATAATTAAACTCGCGAGTCGTGAGACATTTTACATAACCCGAAAGCTATCTCCATCAACATCCCCCAAGTAGCAAGCACATTTCATTTTAACTTTTCAAACTGATCATTTTTGGAGTTATACATATATCGTCAAAATGATTTTTTTATGACTTTATATTAGCGTCATCATCAAGATAATATTGTAAAAAAAATTATAGGAACGTGTAATTGTAATATTTTAAGGAAAATATTTTACAGCAACAATCCAAAAATATAAAAAAAACAATATTCTATAGTCATTAGCTCTTTTATTTATCGCTATGCGGCACATAATACACTATCTCGTATTTAAATTTTAATTCTGAAAATTATATAAAGCTCGTAAAAAGTAGCTATTGAAAAATAAGGGAAGTTTCAAGAAATTTTTTTATATGAAAGATTTGAATATATAAATACTTGTACAAACATTGTTGTATAGCCATTCCATTATCCATTTGTTCGTAATCACAGGCGAATTCAAAATATTTAAGGAATTTTCAAGAGACGATTGAGCGAAGTTGTCTCGAATCTCATGGGAAGAACATTAGTCGCATATTTTTTCTAACGTAAAATAAATTTTTAACGATTGTTTATTGAATTGAAAAAAGATGCAAATGCTCTACACAAATACGTCAATATCTCTTCTATGAATAGATAATTGCTACGAGTAACATATGTCACCCTTTACTTACCTTATATACTTACATGTATTATTACTCTATACTAATAAGGAAAGAGGAGAAAGTGCCTCTCTCCGATTTTAATGAGCTTTAAATATGAGATCAAAATAAGAGACATATTTTTATGTGTCTATTTTACTGTTATGAATGTGAAATAAATCTCCTTAAAAAATCGGTTTTTCATTTCTAAGTAAGAATATCGTCAAAACGACAAAAAATAAGTGTTTTAAATAAGTTTTATGATGTTTAATGTTTTTATAACAATGCAAGAATTTTCGAAATTTCCTGTTCCTCATTATTTCTGAAAGTTTTAAAATTTAATTTATAGCAAAAAACTCAAAACATTTAACTCCATAATCAACTATAAAATTGTATTTTGAAAACGCATTTTTCAAATATAAACTATAATATATAGAAACTTTTCTATATACATAGTTAATATATATATAAGTTTTCTAGTTATAATAGTTTAATAAATTTTCAGAAATAAGTATCTTAGTAACTTGTAATCGGAAATCAATGGATCCATAAGTTGAAACTCTTTCATCGTCAATGAACAACATTTTATCATCTTCAATTCGTTAATTTCATTTTAAATCTTCGTGTTTGGGTTTTGAAATGCATTACCGAATGATATTACACTCAGCACTAGTATAAGCCCCATACTCTACACATCATTGAGAATTTACTCTCATAACGACTAATGGCCGGCAAGACAAGGCCTCCTTTGGTCAGTAAAGATGAAACAATTGAAGAAGAAGAAGAACTTACAGTATAAGCCTCACAGAACTAGGCATCTGTAGCAAAGACACAGGAGACAAAATTTTAGCGAATCGAGAGCGTTCCAATTGGACACAAGCCAAGCAATCCATTATTTGGTTATATTAGGTTAGGATTAGGGTAGAGTAGGTTAAGGTTTGGTCAAATTTGACTGATTTGATTGGCGGTGTGCAATCGAGACGTGATCAATCAAGTGATGATCGAGTCCACTCGTTCAATCAAGGATCTTATATAGAACAAAAGAGAAAAAATCAATTATAATTTAATAATTATTATTTATTGAATAAATATATAAAGGTTCCGTAAAATTAAAAATATTAAAAAAAAAGAACGGCAAATAAACCAGCGAAGTAATTAGATGAGCGCAAATATTTATTAAAATATATTTTGAAAACCCAAACGGTTATATTAATAACATTGCGAACGTTTCTGTACTTTCTTCAGACTCTTTTCAGCGCAAACAAATAACTAATAAGTTAATATAAAACGGCATTATTCATCTAAAATTATATACAAGTCAATTATATTAAAAAACCTATAAAATCAAATCGTAAGAATATACGTCATCAACAGGTTGTTGTTATTTATTGATGTATGTATGTATATGTATGATGTGTGTTATGTTGCGTTGCAATTCAACACCGTGCGCGGAACAATATCGCGCTGAACCCGAGACTCCAGTTGATCCGCATAATCTTATCTTAAGAATCTCTCTTAGAAGAAGATAGGATCAGCAAGTCGGGAGATCTCGCGGAGCTCGTGGGTAGCGCGCGGCGAAGTATTAAGCGAGAGATGAAACGAAGGAGAGTGGGATGCTGCGAGCTACGAAGGCAGGCGAAAGTCGACGGACGGCATGCCATCACCACTCTTATGTTTCTCTCCTCTTCCCTCTCTCACCTTCGCCGAGCAAGTTTCTGCGCGCGTTCAGTCCCTCTCACTTATTCCGTCTAGCAACTTTACACGCGCGAGTCAGCTTCCCACTCGTTCGTTTCTCTCTTTCTCTTCACGGACGCGTACAAGAGAGAAACAGAGAGGAGAGAGAGAGAGAGGAAGAATGAGTGAGTGAGTGAGAGTAACCGAGAGCCGCGGAGAACGCGCAAATGCCAGTGATTCAACACGACTTGGAGTATGCGTCTCGCGGCGGCGATACAAGCGAGCGTCGCGCGAATCGAACGCGCGGACGCGCGTTTATTCGTACATCGCCGCGATCTTAAAATCTGTTTAGTTCGAATCTGAAAGATCTAGTGTAAGAACGACGAACTTAATTTTATTTCTCAAAGCAAAATTCGAGTGCAATGTACGAAGAAATTATCTCGTGTGCTTTGCTGTGCGGGTGGAGAACTTTTTTATTCGTTGATCCGAAACCGATGGGAAACGGAAAGATACCCTAGACAGATATTGAGAAAGATAATGCGATATAAGTATCCCTCCAAACAGTATCTCACGATAATGATTTCATATCGAATGAACATGGAGTGTTGCAGAATTTCCGGGGAAACTTATATAAATTATACATCGTTTCGACGAGTGCTTGCAAAAAATTTTGTAAATGTTTGAATGTGTTGAAGTGTGTTTTTAGTGTAAACGACATGAATCGAAAGTTTTAAACAGTGAAAAGTGAGTGTATTTTTGTGTTAACTTATCTAATGTTACTCCATTAATTAGCAAAATCCTAATTTTAATAGATTTTCTAATTATATTGATCAAGCATCGAGAGAGATTTAATTGAAAATTCTCTTATGCGGAAGGCATTTCTTCGCAAAGTGCGTCCGAATCATCGAGAGAGATCGCATGAAGAATGGCGGAGAAGAGAAGAGAATGGGAGTGAAACAAACATAACATAATTGTTCGAGGGCAGAGAAAGTATCTTGAATTTCAAGGTACACATTTTCGTGTTTGGTTAAATATTGGTGCAAAATACCCAGCAGAATCGATGAGCTTATTAAACGATTATCGACAGAGTAAAATCGTAATTTAAGAAGAAAATGCTGATATAATCCATCAGTTAATGACTTTTATGTCAATATATTAAATGGAAATGCACATACAGATAGATATATTTTAAGTTATAGTAAGTTGTGTGAAAGTGAAGCAATCTTTAATGCGAAGAAGTCGTTTTTAAATCCAACGATGAAAATCGTGATAAATAAAGCGACGTTGAACCTGTCTCGCTTGAAAGTGTTTATCGATTTTCTTTGATATCGGATACGTTGAATTTAAAGATGCTCATCACAATTCTCGCCAAATCTCTTCGTGTAAAATGACCATCGCGATCGAGCTGAGGACACGGAGGAAAAAAAGAGGAAGAAGAGGACAATGAGGGAGGAAAAACGGCAGTGGCATCGAAAAAGGAAAGCCATGCTGATCATTCACGAATTGAAGATCTCGGTGTTGCACTTTAGAGAGTTTTAGCGCAGAGAAAGGACGAATAAGGAAAGAGAAAACGAGGAAGAAGAAGAAGAAGAAGAGGAAGAGGAAAGGCGAATAGAAGGATACAAATAGTAATAGAGCGGCAGAGAAAGAGAAACAAAACTGAGAGGAAGAAAGAACTCTGTAAATCTACTTATTTTTGTAAATTCTCGTTTTTGGAGTTATAACTTTAAATTTTAATTGATCAGGCAAATTACTTTCTTCCGTACTCTTATAAACGCATTTATCGATTCTTACTATAAAAATATTTAGCCATATTTCAGCTTAAATTTGTAGCATTTGACCTTTTACGAGCTGAGATTGGTTGTGCTGCTCTTCATGAGGCCCCTCTCTTTTGAGAATCTTAGAAGGCTCGTGGGCCGTAGGAAGGACCGCAATGAGCCTTCCTTCAAGCGCAGCGAGTCCTTCAAACGAATTTCCATCAGGAAGAGTTATCTGGATCGAGGTAAACGCCGGAATCGCATCCAAAAGAATCTGGAAACCGCTGCTAATTTTCCTTCAGAACCAGCAGCAAACGAAAAAATCATTTCTCAGATTAAGGTACAAGAATCAAAAAAGAATGAAGAATCCTTTAGTCATGATTTCATCACCTATGACGAATGGCTTCAAGGTGTCCGCTCTTCCTCCCGCGAGAAGCTTCATGAAAGTAACTTCGATTCTCTTCAACATCTTAAGGTTAAAGCTGCCGTGAAACCTGCCAATCATACCGACTTGGCAGATTCGATCACTAAGGATTTAAAAGTTCTTCAACTTGACTCTTCGCCCATTTTAACGCCCAAGCCCAAGCTCTTCAGGATCATTAATGATGAAACGACCGACAAGTATGATACTTCCTCTTGGGCTCAAGAATCCTCCATGGAAGGATCGCCTAGCGTTAGCATTAACCTTGGGAGAATATGGAGAGACGCAGTGCCGGTTCCAGTACCAGTCTCTGTCTCAATTCCAGTATCTACTTCTTCATGTTCCTTAGTTTCAAATTCTTCGGTTTATTTTCTCGATAACGTTTTGAAAGAGAAAAAGCCGCAGCCGACTATCACAAGAACGGTTTCGGCGCCTGAGAAACCTGTTAGTAAGGACAATACTACGTCGTCGTCCTTTGGCTTCTCTCTCAAGATCAGCAAACTCGCGGATTTCAGACCAGGGTGATTAAAATTAAAGATTTACCGATTAACGATTGATCAGTGATAAAAGAATGCATTCCTTTGATTGATTCAAATTTTCGAATTTTTAAACGATGTCTATTCGTCAGATTTTATATTTGATATTCGATTAATTATATTTGAAATTTTTTGAAAATTTTTATCTTATAATTTTAAACGCAAGTAAATAAAAATTATTATATATCAATTTGAATCGTAGATTAATTGTAATTTTTTATTATATTAATTATATTAATTATTAAATATTTTAATAATTATATCTTATTTTCGCATTCATTGATTGATCGGGAATTTCGCGCTGATTTGAAGTATCTTTTGATCGCAATCTTGAATTTTTGACTTTAGGATGACACGAAACTATCTTTTTCGCCGGAAGGCACCGAAATCGTCACCCAGCGTAAACACAGAGAATTATTTTAAACGAACGAGCACATTCAGATGTTCTCGTCGTCGAGGCGGCAAAAGAAATTCTCAACGCGCCAGCAAAAGAAATCAACAACCTGTTATCCAATCTCATACCAGCAGTCCGGTATGGTTTATTCCGCCTGAAAGACGTCGCTCAAGACGCCAACGACGAGTTTGGCGGGAGATCAGATACTTTCCTGATGAAGGTCCAACTCTGGAAAGGCTCAACGACTGGTCGTCAAACGTGTCAGATGATCAATTCGATGATCAGAAACTGCTGTTGTCGGGTGACTTCAACATTCAACGAGAGGATGACACTTTCAACTCCATTGTTTCATCATCCCTAGGCTCTTTCTCGGCAACATCATCCTCATCATCAGCTTGTCTAGTCCCAAAGATTAGCGACTTCAACGAAGAGAAGCTGTTCTCTGAAGAATTAAGAAGCAACGGTCTTCTGGCACGTGGAACCACTTGGAAACTTTCGACAATGACGATGACAACGACTACGACAGCAGTGACGACGACGATGATGACGATAATGTCAACGGCGACAAGTACGGCCGTTTCTGGAAATTATTTTGCCAGCAATCGATTTCTGAGCTTCTTGGCCGAAGGCGTTGCCAAGGAGAAATCGAAGGGTGGGAATTCCAATACGGCTTACACATGTCTTTCGTCGACCGACAGCGAGGACAACAATGTCAATCATTTTAATGAGCGTAAGAAAAATATCAAGTTTTCGCAACAACGACAGCAACATCTGAAGAAATCCGGTTTAAGGAGAAGACCCTTGCGCCGAAAATCGCAATTAAAAAGAGCATCCGGCCAACCGGTATTCCTCGTGCGCAAATGCTCATCTTTGAGAAAACGCCCAAGTAAGAACTGTGCTATGGTTTTATACAGATTATACATATCATATATAAATCATAATATAAAGCGGCTCTCTTTAATATATGACTACATTACATATTTATTTATCATATTTTATACTTATTACGTGGTAAGAATGGGAATGATAATTTATCAAGATTCTACGTGCTGTTTTACATGGAATAGCTAGAGTTCTTTAAATTCCTTTTAAACTTATGTGAGAATTAATGACGACCATTCCTAGAATACCAAAAATTCCAGAATTATTATCATAAACTTGGATCGACATCTTATTCTCCTGATACCTACGTCTTATTTCAATTAAATGTATGACTGGATGCATTGAATAATTAAGTTATCCAGAAAATCCCGATATAAATGAGAAATTACATCATACATCTGACATCTACTACATTCTTCAATAATCAGAAGGAATTGATAATAAAATAATTTATTTTGTGGAATCATCTATCTACATTTTCACTTTCTTAAAATAGAGTTGGTAACTTTAGTGGAGTCTTAAATACTAAAGTGTAAAATATAGTATTAAGACTAACTAGAAAAAAATTTGTAGAATGAATTGCTAATAGAAAATAAATTATAAGATAATTACAATTAGCGGCAATCTCGTGTAAATAAATCAAAATAAGTACTTATATTAATACCATAAGTGTGAACCACTATTCTGTTCACAATAATATATGATACAATTTTGATATAATCTTGGATTCATTTGCATATTATATTTGTAAATAGTTATCAAACACAAACAATAGAATGGAATCACAATAATTACAATCGTTCTATGTGTTAATCATCTTACATACCTGTTAATCATCTATATAGCCTTGTTATTCTCGACTTCTGTCTTAATTGCGCAACGCGTTTCTCGCGATTAGTTTCGATGAGCTTGTTGCTCACAACTGGGATTTTATACGCGTTACATTGCAATCATGGTTCAACTATGGTGTATCTCGCCACGGCTTCCGTTTTTTTCTTTCAAAGACTCGATAACTTATAATACACGGAAATTCTTTAACACTCGAATCATTGATCATAATTTCAGATTAGTTTCTTTAGCGCGTACACCACATCTATAATTGAATAAAAATTATCTTTATATACAATATTTAAAAATATAGACAAATGTGATTTTTAAAAATTTTTAAAAGAATTTTTTTTTTAATGAAAAAAAGTGTTTGCAATTTATAAAAAATATATAATATTGTAAATTATATGAAAGTTTAAAAAAAATTATACGTTATGATTTATGACTAAATTATAATTTTAAAATACATTATCACGTATTTTAATTAATTTTACAGAATTAACTTTTCGCAAAATAATAGTGATTCAATGAAAGATTGAGCTCATTAAGATATTACAAAAAATGTAACGACGAATCTGAGACTTATTCATGATATTACATAAATTAATTTTATTAGATTGTTTACATTGAATATTAATTAAACTATTTTTCCTGTTTTTATAGGAGACATTACGCAGAAGGGTTACGAGAAGAAACGGACACGTCTACTTCAGCCGTATGTTTCAAAGCAGATAGGTAAGCCTCTTTTGCTTTTCTAGAATTCATTAAAACTCCCGTAAACAACAAAGATATCATCGCTCATTATCCGCAATATGTGGCAACAGAGCGAACGAGAAAATTAGCGAATGTGAAAATAATATTATCGGTTCAATATTATGTTCAACGGTTATGTTTTAATATTTTATCAATTGTGTACATAGAAATTACACATAATAGCGTATATTATAAGTAATTTCGAGACAACTTTAAAAAAATATAATTATAAAAATATTTCATTTTTTTATGTATTTTATATCAATATTTTTATAATTTATTTTATAATATATTTATAGTTCATAAATATATATAAGCCTATTTTCTATAGTATTTATAGTGAAGCACACGTAAAAAATTTCATAAAATACAATCTCTTGAATGAAATATTGTGCATCGCGATGATTAAACAATATTTTATCAGACGGAAACGCAACCGCAGTTTCTAACTTTCCAAGTCTTATCCTTCGTCGCATCTTGATATGTATGATGTTGCGTCATCGAGAGGCAATGCCACTCGCAATATCAATCGCGTTCTGATTCTCAAGGGACATGTGCTTCATTGTGTGCATAATGGCAATTAAATGCAATCTGTATACAAGAAGAAGGGAAACGCAAGGAAACGCAATTTTCACGCGGCACGCGTCACTTTTATGCTCGGCATCTTGTAACTATAATGTTCAATTGTTTACCAGAGAGTTGCATCATACGAGTCACTCAACAGATTAAGGGAAAAATTACAGTTTTAAAAAAGTATTTTACAATTCTATGTGATTTTATTTTCATTTATTTCCTTGACGAACATTCTTTGTTCTTAAGAGTCAGGATCGAAGATTCCAAGCTCTAAAGAAGTTGTGAACCGTACACAACCCTTATAGAAATTTATCACTAGTAACGCCAATTTATCACTTATTTCGAATACTTAATCATTTATTTCGAGCACTTAAATTACTGTATATCAATATTTTAAGTACTCAAAATAAGTGATTAATTGGCGTTACTAGTGATAAATTTCTACAAGGGAGTATTATAATAATACTATTAGTATTGAAAAATATTGATAGTATTGCTGAGATCATGTGTAGGTTGAAATAATGAATAGGAACAAAGTAATAAAGGAGAATTTTTTTTATATTTGAGGATCATAATTGCACATAATTATTTTAATTAGCACTAGCCATGTGGCTAAAGGAGTCTCTTGCGACGAATATTTTGTTCCAAACAGTAATGGATTATTGCATTTTATTGAAACATACGAATCCTTATCCGAACTGTGGATGCATGAAATTTCATATATGTAAATAAAGTAAAAAGAAAAATGTAGCTTGATAAACACTTATTTATAAAAAATCAAACTAGATGCAACAACTCGCAAGATGCTAGCCTTCTTATTCTACTAGAACAACGCAATGTTAAAAATAATGTAGTTAAAAAATATAAAATTGATCTATTTTTATCAACAACTTTCAAACTGTTAAACCCTCGCTATGATAGCCGCTCGATGATACGAATATAATAATGCACAACGCGAATCGAGATAACCAATCAACATCGCGGAAAAGAGGTAATAGTGTCAACATAATCTGCCTTTTTTTAGAGAGGATATAGCTTATTGTGATACAGTCTTTTATGTACTAATACATATGGCATGCTTCTACAACTGCTTGCAACTCATAGCAGATGGTGACATTATGGCAGAAACTTTAGACTTTAGATCTTTGAAATTTCTTTCAGTTGCAAAATATTGCAAAGTCACAGCTGTAATCTCTCTTCTACTGTTATACATTCCCGTATAATTGTATATCGTATTCCGTCTTGGTAAAGAGACCTCACTAATTTGTAGTAATTTATCAAAATTATTATCACTCGTACGAAAAGAGTTTTTATAATCTGTCACATTGATAATCCATATTTTATTCAGCAAATTAAGATGAGTAAACACTTGTTGCTTTTTAAATCACTCTAACCTACCTTCTACGTTTCAGATTTCATTTTGAAATCGTAAGTGCTAATACTATTGTAAGATACACCTTTTTTTCTCAAAAAAATCTATTTTATAACAAAATTCTCCTTGTAAGTTGTTTTGTGTGTAAATTGCATTATTTTACTATATATTACATTGTGCACGAGAATAGCAAAGATTTTAGTTACAGAGTATGAAAGCTTTTTTATTTCATTTCTTTTGTTTGTTCCTATAGATATAATTATCATTTTCAAATACACAATTATTTGTGTGCTTAGGAACAGTTTCCGAACAGAAAAAAAATTATTTAAAAATGAAATTAAGAGACATTAAGATATAACAATGAAATTAAGATATAATTATAATTTTCACTAGTAACGCCAATTAATCGGAAATTAAGACATTAAGATATAACAATGAAATTAAGATATAATTATCATTTTCAAATACGTAATTATTTGTGTGCTTAGGAACAGTTTCCGAACAGAAAAAAAATTATTTAAAAATGAAATTAAGACATTATTTGAAACAGTTATAAATTTCTATTAAATTATATAAATACTCATTATATATTAATTTATAGATAACATTTAAGATAAGAAAATGAAATTAAAATATTTTATAAATTAATTTATTACTAAGTAAGCCATAGTCTTCGCTGTCAAAGTTTTTGTGTGATATATTATAAATTTACCTACGCGTTAAAATAAAATTTAGAATGTTAAAATCGACCGAAAAGCAATAATGTGTATGTACATCGTTGAAAAGAACCTTATACGCCTTTGCACCAGACTATATCCTATATAGTTTTGTGGACGCGCCTTTGCACCTGCAACTATGATCGGTAGAATTGCTGCAATCGGCTTAACTGTACCTACACACGGAAGAAGCGCTTCCGCATTATCATTAATGCTATCTGCTATTGTGAACGAGTTGAACCAACGACAATTTTCTATGGCTATAGAAATCGGCCTAGTCAAATAACGGCAACAGTTTTACATATTAATTCTTGAAGCGATCTTTTTTAGAAACGCCATAGCCTTTTTAATCAATTTTCAGAATGAAATAAATCGTTATAAATGTTGCGCTGCCAATAATGCATCGCACAAGAGAAAATTCTATTTTAAAAAATGGCTTTACTTTTATAGTGATACTGTATTTCCAATATTTTTCAAAATATTTTAGCTCAAGAAAAATTACCGATATAGCTTTGGAATAAGAAAGAAAAATATTATTTCAGAAATCTCTCAATTTGAAACATTTTCATAGGATTTTTTATCAGAAGAATAATGTAGATCAGCCCCTCTCCAATCTACGCTTTCACTTTATAATACATACATACACACTAAATGACTAAATTAATTCCATTAAATGATTCTTTTTTAAATGTACATACACAGTACCAATTACTCAATTACTGTGGCGAAAGTATTGCTGTTATTGCGACTTTTAAAAATCGATATTTCAGAAATCATAGATCGTAGTACATCATAATTACGATATATTTTTCTCATTAAAAAAAATCTGTCGAGCACACCTGTCAAATCGAGGGATCCTGGAAATAACATTTTCCCCGGATAAGACAATGATGGTAGCAAAACCCAAATATGAGTATTTAAGAATAAAAACAAAATGCTCCGGTTTTGTGTATGCACACTTATATGGATCATAGGGACTGGAAATGGTGGTATTGGTGGTGGAGGTGGTGATGGTGGCGGCGTTGATAAAGGACTGGAGAGAACAAGTTACGAAAGCGGTGGAGGAGGTGGAGAAGGAGGGGGAAGCGGCAGCTATGGCGGCGGCCGACCGCAGCCACGTACTCGGCGCACGCAACGACGTGTCACGCACAACGAGAAACGTTATCACTCAGGTAGCGCCATGCATTACGTAGCCAGTGAAAAAAAAATAAACATTCATTTCTTCCGAGTTGCGAGATAAACGGACTTTGATTAAGTGCGCATAACGTGGTTGTTAATTGTCTTTCAATTCTGCTTCAACTTCTTTAGCTTTTAGCTTGCACTTCTCTGTAATGTACCGTATAGAAAATGATTGTTATAGAATTTTTATTATAGAAATTAGACTAGAATGATGTAATTTTTACTCAATTATATATTACCTGATTGTCGTATGTACGATTTACGCTTTTATCTTTACATACACAACACACATACAAATATCACAAGTGAATGGCATGATTTTCTAGCTGTAAGAAATATCACAGTAAAATCTTCCATTTCTCTATTAAAATTATTTTCTATAAAAGAAGATTTAATTATGGAAGCTAATTTTCATTCTTTGGGTTTTAATAGTTATAGTCAACCAAAGAACTTCATCCATTTTTTATAGGGGTTTCTTGACCCTTCAAGTTCAGTGATGAGACATATACTAAATTGTAAGGTATCATGAAAGGATTCAAAAATTTATAGGTGCCAATGTCCACAACATTCGTCGGTCAATGTTAGGACTTCATCAATATTGGTGTATTCATTTTGTTATCTATGTTTACATGATGCTTTCACGCTTACAATAAACTGATTATTTATTTTATAATTGAACGTGACTCCCAGAATTTTTGTGTTTATATTCATCCTTTCCTAAACCTTTTTTAAACTTCCATGAAAAGGTGTTTTGAACGTAAAAATAATGCTCATACCGTAGGCTGTTGTTTCCACATCATGTCGGTTATTTGATATTTAGCATATGCTAAATATTTTTCAGAAAATATGCAGATACTATCTGAGAGCACAGTAATGTATTTGTTATCTTGGACAGGTCTGATAATAAGTCATCAGATAAATAAATGACAACATTAGGAGATCACTACTTCTGGCAGGGGTTTGAAGATTCCAATTATTTTTTTAATACTGCTATTATTATCTACTATATTATATATGTTTGATGACTAAGTCCAGTAGGGGAGGATGAAGAGTTAAATTGGGAGTCCCAAAATGGACGAAGTTCTTTGGATAAAAAATGAATGTGTAAATCCTATGAATATATTTTCACTTTCTACACATTGTGGAAAATTGTTGAAACGAACAAATTTCATCCATCTATATTGTTCGTATACTTCTCTTCCCTTAGTCTTGTCTATGTATATTGTATAGTTTAGTCCCCCTTTCACGTATGTGAAACGCTTTTGTACTTTTAGATACTTTTACAATTTAATATAATCAGATGATAGTCGAAAATGATTGTCCCATCTTCGGAGGATTGGATTGTAACCAACCGCGGCTTGCCCGGCATCGGTATTCTTTAATCAGTCATAATTTATATCTTTCCTTTGAACGTGACACATTTCCGTCTTTCTAATATTTCCTCACTGATAGATATATCCTCGCTTACTGATATGTACAATGATATCGCGTATTTGTATTTTATCGTGAATCTCTATTATATCAATTTTATGATAGGGATTTTCAATAAAAGGCTCCATAGAATATATATCTTATGTAAAAGATACTTGATATTGAATACAAGTTAACGTTAGATATTACGAAAAAAAAAATATTTGCTAAAGCAGCTAAAAATTTTGATCTACTCAATAAATTTATCATCTAATTATCATAAAAAGTAATTTTGAAAAACAAGATTGAATATATAGACGTCTTCAACAATTGATTAATATAACTGTTGCATTATTTTTTTAAATTATTGAACTGTACTTTTCAAACATTATAACAAAATTGAGCTTGTTTTATGAGCATATCGACATTGCTTTCAAATATAACTTTCTTGTTGCTTATAATTAACCCTTTTATGCCTGACGTACCATATTTAGCACGTTCACTTTAGATTATTCTTAAAACGCATCATCTATAATTTAAATTTTTTATCGCGCCCATTCAATTAATGAATCCCAAATAAATTGTAAATATTAAAAAATCCGGTTTTGTACTATTCGAAATCGCCAGAAATCCAATATGGCAACAGCATTTCTAAATCCGAAATCTGAGTCTCGGACTTAAAGGGTTAAATACTAAATTTAGCTAGTAAACTCTAACTTTGTTGACTCAACTATTCCATTTTTTCACATTTTTGACAAGAAATCGGTCCGTATTTTATTTCTATTTTTTCTGCGTGACGCGCATTTAAAAGTTTAATCATCTTTCAATAGATAACGTAAGATAAATTCACGTCGTATGATTCGCACGGATTTCCTGAAATCGGCCAGTAATTATTCTGACTGAATCACGACCGGCTCTTCTCCTCTTTCTCTAACCTCCTCCTACCACAAACGATTGATATGACGAATATCACATTCATGAGACGCAGCATTTGATGGTAAAAATAACCAATTGTTAATGACACAATTAGATGGTTAGTTTGCATCTGGATAAATGACACTTTTACGGTATATAAATCATAAAGGACGTGGCGAGTCTTCCATAAGGTCAGTACTAATTGTTTGGAATATTAACTCTAGAAACGCCTTGGAACAAAACAAATTTAATACGTTTGTTTTATGAGCGGATCATATTATAGAAATAGAGAAAGGTAGTTATTTTCATTTTATGTGATTAAAAGACTTAAGTGGGATGAGATCTAAATTAACAGTGCGATTGAACTTAACAATTGGTACCTAGGATGACTAGCACGCTTGATCAATAAATGTTCTGTTCAATTGGGCACTCTTAAATGTATATATATTTTTCTTATAACGACATATTGCACGCATTAGATTAGATTATTTTTGGCAGGTTCGAAGAGTTACTATAAATTTGTCGAACACACTATCAATACTGTCTTTACCCTTCCATTTAGCACATACTCTCTATTTTTCTCATAAAATCATGCTATGATCCACAAACGAATCATAAATGAGTCTCAGAAGGCCATTGTTTAAGACTTCTGCTTTAAAATCTATGGATTCTTAATTCCTAATGATTCTTAATGATTCCTTTGATTTCAAAAATCTTAACTCTTCAGACTATTAATATAAAATAGTTGAATTTATTTCTTCCGACGCTTTTTAAGAGCTTTAGAAATTTGTTGAGATTGCCTCGTAATTAATATAATAACGAAGTAGAGATAAATAGAAAGAGAATATTTACTAATTCTAAGAATTTATTCTTTATTGCTGCGCTAGTGAACTAGTGTACACTAGTGCAGTAAGTTATAGAGTGAAACAAAAGGTCTATTTTTCTTGACTGAACTAGCTGTACTATAGTTCAAAGTTTATCTCTTTCCCTCCAATGTGGAGTAAAAAAGATAAACTTTGAACTAGTGCAGCCAATTCAGCTAAAAAGAACAGACCTAAAATATATTTGTCACTTTAACTTATTGGATTTGTTCTTTATTATTGAACTAGTAAACTAGTTCAGATTGGTGCAGTAAATTAGAGTGAAACAAAATATATTTGTCTCATTCTAACTTATTGCACTAGTTCATCAGTACAGCAATAAAGAACAAACCCTTTAACTTATTACATTCTAATGTGCACTAGTTCACCAATACAGCAATAGGGAAACCCTAAGTATCTTTAATGTCCTTGTTTATCCGGATGCGATGAGATTGAAGAAAAGCGAAAAACGATGACGAGTCTTCGCAGTCAGTCCTTGTAGCCCGTTCCACTTTTGTCTATGTGCCGTTTGTTGTTGTTATTTTGCATGCAGGTGGTCGCTTAGCGCCTGGCGGGATCGCCAGTCCCCCAGGATCTGGCGGCTTCACAGGGAATACCGGAAACTCGAATACAACTGCTTCAGCGGCAGCGGTAGCAGCGGCGGCTGCGAGACGTGGTAATCGCCGACTTACACGCAATGAAAGCCGTTATCATTCCGGTGAGTACACTTGAGAAATGATGCTAGGAATACCAGGACTACCATCCAGGTAGTACGACACTAGGTAATATATTTTTGCAAAATGCGTAATACAAAACGTCAGCATTACGCTGTTCAATCACGCAGCATCCATCCGGAAGCCTTTTACATTGATGATTCCAATGGCCGCGAAAGCCTCAAAACTAGGTAATATATTGTTGAAGTATTTTAGAGTTCTATTTATTCTCAATTTTCCATGTTGTTCAAATCGAACAGATCGGATCTTTCGATCTACAAACATATTTTAAACTCCTTTGGTGCCCCTTTTTTCGTTCAACGCAGCTAATTGTAAAAAAGTCGTTATCTCAAGATATACTTTTTTTATTCCTCCAAATCTTTTAATGCATTTTCGAGATGTATCTAATAATAAAGCCGATATAATGTATTTCTTAAATTATCTAGATGTATGATAAGTAATTTTTATAGTTTATGCATGAAAGAAAATTATACTGTCATTATATATATTTGTTATAATTATGACAAAATGTGTATAGCATTGAATGTGATTAACATTATTTATCTACTTGTATAATTTCGTCGTTTCTGCAGCTTTGCATTAGCTGTTCTTTGAATAAATTTCAAAGCTTCTCGAAGCTTAGTTTGTGCCTTGCCCCGCATATCTTACATTTCTTCATAGAATGAAATGTCGTTTAGCATAATAAGAAAAAATTGCTTTGAAAGCGTCGATAGAAAGCTGTATTTATCTCACATCAATGCAAGTATAGATAATCTTCCATCTGGTACATCGTTACCCGTAAGACGAGTCAACAAACTGTACCTCATCGAAAGTTAAATCGATCCAGAAATGGACGTTTGATATACAAAGCGTTAGCTTTTTAAAAAATCACTCAACAGAATTTCTACATATTTTTGTTTCGTCTATTTATAAAAATATTTTTGTCACTAATATGATTGAATTATATTATATTGTTTACCACATCAGACACCCTATAAGAACATGATATTATGAATATTAAATATTCTAAAAATACGCCTAGAATATTGCTTAAATATTAAATAATATCATGCACTTATATAGGGTAACATTCTCTTTGATGTTCTATACTTTACAAAACCCGTGAAGATCATGGTCAAATTAATAATGAACATTTCTTAAATTTATTGAATTATAGTTATATATATATAATAAATATGATGCTTCAGCGAATAAAATATTATTTAAAAATATCAAATTTTGATAGTCCCCATCCCAATTTCGATAGTTCTTATCGATAAAAATTTATTCGATTTTAGAAATCGTAAGTTACCGTATAATTTTTGACAGATACATACCATGAATAAAATAAAGGCCGGGTCTACAATAGGTGTAGTAAACTCTAAGCCTTAAGAAATTGATCAACCACAGTTAATTATTCCCCTCATTCTTGACTGTGATTGGTGAATTTTTTCAAGCTTAGAGCTTACTATACCTGTTGTAGATCCGGCCAAATGAACAATTTGTAACATGTGCTTCTCTGATTGATATTTGTTTTATGGACAAGTCTTTATGTATTAATATATGGACAGCTACTGTCTATTGTAACTAGAATGTTTATTTTCTGTCGCTATTTGTTGTTGGCTTTCGTCCATTTTTTCTTTTCAGTTCCAGTATTTCTAAAGATGTTAAATATGTTGGTAATAATTTATAAATAAAATAAAATGTCTCCGATTAGTATCTCCAATTCTTTTTGCATACAACAACTAAGTTTATATATATTCCATACTGTGTATTTCATTTAAATATAAATACATATTCTATTTTCTTTATGTTCTTGTAAGTGATTACAATGTCCTTCGTTAATGGAATACGATATTGTGAAATATAATTGAAATAATATTAAAGTGAACGAATAAGTAATTATACATTTTTAAAGCTTATATTATATTAACAAAAACATAACAATTATCTGAAATTACAAATAATAATGAATCAAGAAGTTGCAAAACTGCGAATTTTTGAATTACATAAACATTCATTTATGCTCTACATTTAAAATTAAAAAAATATTTAAAATTAAAAAATTTAAAGTAAAATATATAATTTTTAGAGATTATACAATCTTTCTTATTTTGTAAGCAAAATATATTTGCACCTTGTACAGTACAGAAATACAGTTGTAAGCAATCCTATCAAGAGTATTGCATGAGATCACAATAATACGGATTGTTTGGAAATATATAGCAACAACTGATTTTTATTGTTATATTTATTATAGCATACATACATACATACACACACATATTTATTAAAAATCTTCTCACAAGTAAACCTCGAGGAACGTCAAACTCCAATTTTTTTCAAATTTTTTACAGTTGTTTCTGATGCCAAAGTATGAAGAAATCTGTTGTTATTTTTAGCTCAAATCGACTTTTTCATTTTTTTTTTAATTCTCAATTTTGCGCAAATATACGATTTTTCACGTATTTAAACAAGTTCTTACCTTTTATGAATAAATCTATCCGATTTTGATGAAACTTGGCACACAAATAGAACATTGAATAATAGTTTATTAATTTCTTTTTACCGCATTAAGCAGCTTTGAGCTGTTTTTAAGTATTTTCTAAACAATTTTTAAAAAATATTTTTATATTTTTTTATATCTTTTTTGTTTTATATTTTTCCTTTTTTCTTACAATTTTATAACTAATTTTTTTTTAATCTAATAATTGCAACAAATATAATAATATTATTTAATATAATTTTTACAAATGTGAACAGATTTAATAATACTATGATTTGCACACAAATAAAGTTTACAGAAACTACTTGTATTAAATGAAATATCTTCACAATTATAAATTTTACACGTATGTTTCTCAAATTTTAAACAAAATTGTGAAAACTTTTCATTCAATAGATGTAGTTTTTGTAAAGTTTATTTGTGTGAAAAAAATTAGTTATATAATTATAAGAAAAAAAAAGAAAAAGTATATAAAACAAAGAAGATACAAAAAAATATAAAAATATTTTTAAAAATTGTTTAGAAAATACTTAAAAACAGCTCAAAGCTACTTAATGCGGTAAAAAAATTATTAAACTATTATTTAATGTTCTATTTGTGTGCCGAGTTTTATCAAAATCGAATAGATTTATTTGTAAAAAGTAAGAACTTGTTTAAACACGTAAAAAATCGTATATTTGCGCAAAATTGAAAGTTAAAAAAAAAAAATGAAAAAATCAATTTGAGCTAAAAACAAGGACAGATTTCTTCATACTTTGACATCAGAAGCAACTGTAAAAAATTTGAAAAAAATCAGAGTCTGACGTTCCCCGAGGTTTACTTGTCAGAGAACTCAGTTCTCTTCAACCTTTCTGTCTCGTAGCATCTTATTCTTATGAATTGTTTATGTGCGAAGGTACACGCTACAAGAATGTTAGATCATCAGTAATATATAATAAAAACGTATGATACGCAATATGTATTTGCATATACATAGTGTTGAAATGATAATGAACAGATGTAGCGAGAGTAAAACAAAGTGCCTTCGCATTGTCATTCGTCTTCACTTGTCATTCATTCGAATAATCAATTTTTACGTATTTAGAGGTGCGCCAGGAAGCGGTGCAACAGGCTCTAGCGGCGATGCAAGGACGGCCAAAACCGTCTCTACCGATGCCGTCGAAGAGAACTTCTGTGATGGCCAGAAGCCCTGATCGAGAGAGGCGCGACAGTGGCGAATCCAGCAGTGACGAGGACAGTGTCGTCACCGAAGAGAGCCCTGGCGCAGGTGGTCCAACTGGTAAATACAATAGTTGTTTTACTACGCAAGATCTCTTCAAAAGCATTTTTCTAGATACATGAGCATATTCTTTTCCAGCAATTCTAAAATTATTTTTATACAACTTTACCACTTTCATCATATCTATCTATTTTGATCTCATTAAAATTAAGATTTAATACTATTATCCAATCATTGAATATCATTATAAAATTTAATTTGGGTAAAAAGTTTCTCTCGATATGTTTATGGAACACTAATATTTTAATATTAAAAACTTATGGGAAAACCAAGAAAACCCTTAACCAATTCATATAATTGTATTTGTCTTGGGAAACATTTTTTGTAAAAAGCGTAGAAAATAGGATAGGTATACAAATATTTAGGATATGAAACATCAATATAGTTCACTCTCTAAATGAAAAGATGCTGCGTGCATGTCGTGTTGATTTTGCATCAGACCATATACTAACAAAACAAATACAAATATCATTTTCTTTTCCATGTAACTGGAAAGCGTGGAATCATACAGATGGAAAACTGCACGATGTCATAATAATAGCACGAGATTAAATTATTCTACTCCTGCCATGAATAATATAATAAGTAATTACCTACTCCCTCAGGTACAGGTCTCTCTGATACCAGTAGTACCGGTTCTGCCCGCGATACTCCACCGCCGCCGAGACCACCGGCAAGAAGGCCGCCCGGTGCCGATATCACCGACATTGCCGAGTACACACCTCATGCCTATTGCAACATTCAACCGCCAGACGTGACTCACGTGACGAGTAACACTCCGGTTAGTCAACAACAATCGGCGACGCGCCGGCCCGGTGCCGACCGGGTCAATCGCTACGCGCACATGGTCGAAGATCAAAATAATACCGGTACCACTGGCCGCTGGAAGGTCTCCGCTAAAATCCAACAGCTACTAAATACACTAAAACGGCCGAAGCGCCGGCCACTACCCGAGTTCTACGAGGACGATGATATCGAACTGGAGATCGCTGCAAATCCGAAAGATCCGAATGCTCCCAAACCTGAAGGTGGTTCCATGACGTCGGCGATTGGCGAGATGCTGTCGGTGCCATCTGGCTTGCCACGATCTCTTGAAGCCGCGATTCAAAGGTAAGTTTTATAGTTGAACGTTAGGGCCTGAGCAGAATGGCTGACTTATGACATAAGAAAGTATTGTGCGTTACCTAAGACAAAAACTTAGGGCATAAAATAGTGTCTTCAGATTATAAGTCAGCCATTCTGCTCAGGCCCTTAGGATGAATCTGGTGATTCCGATTCAAGACTGAACGTGGATTTGCAATTTCAGCGATCCATATAAGAATTCATTTACTACGTGTCCACAGATACGGCTCGGCGACATATAAAGCACCTGTAGCAACTGTCTTAGACCCTAATGGCAAGCTTTGCGTAACTCTCACGTACGGGAAACTACTCAGTCGCTCCCACAAAATTGCCTATACTCTACTGAATAAGGCTCTAAGTCGCGGTGGCGACTGTTGCTTAAAACCTGGCGACAGGATTGCTCTAGTTTATCCAAATAACGATCCGATCAGCTTCATGTGCGCTTTTTACGGCTGCTTGCAGGCCGGTATTGTGCCGGTGCCCATCGAAGTTCCTCTGACCCGACGTGACGCGGGTTCTCAACAAATTGGTTTCCTCCTGGGAAGCTGCGGAATTCAGGTAAGCGAGTCAACTTATTTGCCAATCAATATTCCTTACTATATTTGCATGACCAATTGACTATGCAACTTTGCGAGTTGCATTAGTCCGTTTATATACATAATTATAATAGTTCTCCAGATCAGAAGCATTTAGATATCTTGATATTCTTCAGGTGGCACTGACCAGTGAAGCGTGTTTGAAGGGTCTGCCAAAGACGGCGGCTGGTGAAGTAGTGGCCTTCAAAGGTTGGCCGAAATTGCATTGGTTTGTTACCGAGCATCTGGGCAAGACGCCCAAAGATTGGTTATCCCCACCGCGACTCACGGATGATACGCCAGCGTATATCGAATACACTACCGACAAAGACGGCTCCGTGATGGGTGTGACTATTACCAGGGCGGCGATGATGGCTCACTGCCGCGCTCTCACGCAGGCTTGCGGCTATACCGAAGGCGAGAACGCCGTCTGCGTGTTGGACTTCAAGCGGGAGGTTGGCCTTTGGCATAGTACTCTGACCAGCGTGTTGAATGGCATGCACGTGATCTTTATTCCTTATGCCTTGATGAAAGTCAATCCCGCCAGTTGGATGCAGATGATCACGAAACATCGCGCAAGCGTTGCCGTCGTCAAGTCACGGGATCTTCATTGGGGTTTGCTTGCCACCAAGGATCATAAGGATATCTCCTTAGCATCTTTAAGGCTGTTGCTTGTAGCGGACGGTGCAAATCCCTGGTCTTTATCATCTTGCGATCAGTTCCTCTCTGTATTCCAATCCAAGGGACTCAGGCCGGATGCTGTTTGTCCTTGTGCCTCCTCCAGCGAAGCCCTCACAGTCTCGGTAAGAAGGCCAGGACGCGCAGGAGTGAACGCGACTGGTCGTGGAGTTCTCTCCATGTCCGGATTGAGTTACGGAGTTGTCAGAGTGGATCAGGAGAATTCTCTCACATCATTGACGCTGCAGGATTGCGGTCAAGTAATGCCTGGAAGTGAGTCAATCGTTTATCTATCTGCAAATCGCTATTTATATAATTCCTACCTTTTTAATGAGAATTTATCCCTGTATTTTTGGTATATAGGTATAGTAGTCGTTATTAAAATGGAAGGACAGCCGTCCATTTGTAAGACAGACGAAGTCGGTGAGATTTGCGTGCATAGTGCGGCGACCGGTAGCCAATATTGGGGCTTACAAGGACTCACAAACAATACCTTCAAGGTATCTCCTTTACAAGCCGATGGTATAGCCTTGGGCGATGTGGAGTACACGCGATCCGGTCTGTTGGGTTTCCTCGGTCCTGGTGGACTTGTTTTTGTCTGCGGATCACGTGATGGTCTTATGACGGTGACCGGCAGGAAACATAATGCTGATGATATTATCGCCACCGTGTTAGCAGTCGAACCGATGAAATTCATCTATCGCGGTAGAATCGCCGTTTTCAGCGTGAGGGTCCTCAGGGACGAGAGGATATGTGTCGTTGCCGAACAACGGCCTGATTGTAGCGAGGAAGAGGTATATTTTGAAATTTTGCTTGCTATTTTATTTTATAAAGAGGAGGAGAAGAATTATATTTTTCAATAAGATGATGCTTGTTGTTTTGGAAGTTGACTTGGATACTCTTTGAAAGTTTATTATTTCGCGCAGAGCTTCCAATGGATGTCTCGAGTACTGCAAGCAGTCGATTCGATTCACGCTGTAGGAATATACTGCCTTGCCTTGGTGCCACCCAACTATTTGCCCAAAACGCCATTAGGAGGTATTCATCTCTCGGAAACGAAACGTCGCTTCCTCGAAGGTGCTCTGCATCCAGCAAATGTCCTTCTTTGCCCTCATACCTGCGTCACCAATTTGCCGAAACCGCGCGAAGTTCATTCAGGTAAGTAAAGCGAAATTGATCAACGAGTACTGCACCGATATCTTTTGAAATTTTTTAAACAGGCATTGACGTGAACTTGAATAAACTTAAAAAATTAAGTATCTTTTCCAAAAAGGACGAAAAAAAGATAAAAGGGACGCTATGTGCCTGTTTAAAAATTGTACAAAGAAATCTATTTCTTTAAAGTATATTTATTTAACTTTAAAGTATATTTTTATTTTATTTTAAAAGTTATATGAAGTGTGTGTATGTGTGTGTATGTGTGTGTATGTGTGTTGCTTAAATTTATATTTTATCTATCCATAAAATTATAAAGAAATGTATTATTTAACAAAAAGAGGATACTTGATTCTCTCTTTAATTCTGACAATTTAACAAATATTTTTAAACATAATTTAAATGGGGAAATCAATTAAATTGTCATATATTAAAACGCGAACTTTTTAACGATAAAATACAATGTGTATGTGTATATTTTTTTTCGGGGCGCTATTTAGATCGTGTGGTAACAAACATTATATTCTCGAGAAATATTTAAGATTTACACTATTTCGCGAAATACTTGTGATTAAATTATCGCATAATCTTATTTTTAATTAATAAGCCTCTAACAATTAATTACACTTGTTAGCATGTTATTCGATTTAATTATCTCTCTCTTTCTTTCGACTGAGTTCCAAACAGTCCTGCTATCCCAATTAAGCGCAAGTATAATATATAATCAATTTTAATAATTAGCAAAAAGTTTTTTATTTAGTTTATTTTTATTACTAAAAAATCGTGTCCTCTCTTTTTTTTAGCTTTTTATTAGAATTTAAGACCCCTTTTTGCATTTCTTGCTTATTTTTACATAAATAATTTTAACGCATGATGGTAGCAATGACAATCAGCCTGGACTTGTACAATCCAATAAAGAAAAGACATTTGGAGCTCCCATAAGCATCAGATGGATTCTCAAAGATTCGTAAATCCGCGTTAAAACACGAGTAGATCTGCGCGGAGTGGAAGGCCCATGCGAATGCGTATTTGCGGCTCCGATGGCGAGAACCAAATTGCTCTCTAGTTTTGATTTTCCGGCCTCAATCAGGAAGAGTGTGTGAGCTACTCATTATCGGGTTGAGTGTTTGCGTTGGTTTACTAACGGAATGGTGCGGGGGCGTGTAGCGGGGGATTCTGTTGCAGATGTCGGTCCGGCCAGCGTGATGGTGGGAAATATCGTCCAGGGTAACCGATTAGCCTCGGCGCAAGGACGAGACATGGGTGTCCTAGACGAGGATAGCGACAATGCCAAAAAGGTTCGTAAATCCTTCGACTTTTGTCATCCTAACAGCACACATATCCCGAAGACATTCAGAGAACATCCTGAAGATGTTCTCCGGATATTCCCTGGATATCCTCTGAATATCTTTCGAATATGGTGTGCCATCAGAGAAAATATTTGTCATTGTGCATTATACACAATGTGTATTTTATGCATCTCGCATTTCTTGCAGTACCAATTCATCTCCGAAATTTTACGGTGGCGTGCAGTTAGCACCTCGGACCATGTGATATTTACGTCGTTAAATGCGAAAGGTGCTGTGGCCACTTCGCTGTCTTGCTCGCAGCTGCACAAGAAGGCCGAGAGGATCGGGAATTTGCTTCTAGACCGAGGCAGGATTAATACCGGGGATCACGTGGCTCTTATTTTCCCACCCGGCACCGATCTTATATGCGCGTTCTATGGTTGCTTATACGTAGGCGCAGTCCCGGTAACTATCAGGCCGCCTCATCCGCAAAACCTTCAGACAACCTTGCCGACTGTTCGCATGATCGTAGACGTCAGCAAATCCGTTCTCGTGCTGACTAATCAGAATCTTCTCAAGTTGCTCAAAACAAAGGTAACTGACAGAAATGCTCGAATTGTAAATAAGTGAAAATATTATCGATTGGCTTATCGTTTTGTAGGAAGCAAATAACGTGGTCGAAGTAAAGAGTTGGCCGATAATCCTGGATATGGACGATATGCCAAAGAAGAAGCTGCCGGTTATGTATCGGGCACCTACCGCGGAAATGTTGGCCTATTTGGACTTTAGCGTCTCGACGACGGGGATGCTTGCCGGCATCAAGATGTCACATGCGGCAGTGACTTCATTGTGCCGCGCCATGAAATTAGCGTGCGAGCTCTATCCCTCTAGACACATCGCTCTTTGTCTAGATCCATATTCAGGTCTTGGCTTTGCATTGTGGTGTCTTAGCAGTATATACAGTGGACATCATTCCATACTAATACCACCATCTGAGGTAAGCTTTGTGATAAATTTAAACTTACCATAAAGACATTTTTATTCTCGATTGCGATAATTCATTCGAATTTTGTTGCTAGGTGGAAGCTAATCCCGCACTCTGGTTATCAGCGGTCAGTCAGTCCAGAGTAAGAGATACGTTCTGCTCGTACGGTGTTATGGAATTGTGCACCAAGGGACTCGGCTCTTCAGTTCACGCGCTTAAAGCACGAGGAGTCAGTCTTGCGTGCGTCAGGACGTGTGTCGTCGTCGCCGAGGAAAGACCACGCATAGCATTAACGTCGAGTTTTAGCAAACTATTTTCTGCTCTAGGTTTGAGTCCGCGCGCGGTCTCCACCTCGTTTGGCTGCCGAGTGAACACAGCTATTTGCTTACAGGTAAGATTGATTGATAGAATTGACCGTTTCTCAGTTTGTCAAGCCTAAGCCTAAAAAATATCACTTGATTGATTTTGTCGAATAGGGGGCTTCTAGTCCAGAGCCTTCGACGGTCTACGTGGACCTCCGCGCATTACGTAACGATCGAGTGTCCTTAGTAGAACGCGGAAGTCCGCACTCTCTGTGCTTGATGGAATCGGGCAAACTGTTACCCGGCGTGAAGGTGATCATCGCGAACCCCGAGACGAAAGGTCAGTGTGGTGACTCGCATTTAGGCGAGATCTGGGTGCAATCGTCGCATAATGCGAGTGGTTACTTCACCATCTACGGCGATGAGAGCGATTATGCTGACCACTTCAACGCGCGGCTGGTCACCGGCAACACGAACGAGGTTTACGCGAGAACCGGCTACCTTGGCTTCTTGAGAAGGACCGAGAGCGTTCAGCAATCCGTGATCAGCGATGTGCCTGGCGCCACTGACACCACTAACCCGACCGAGGCTGAGCTAGTGTCGAACGATCCAGAACTGCACGACGCCGTGTTTGTCGTTGGTGCTCTCGATGAAGCCATACTGTTGCGGGGTATGCGCTATCATCCGATAGACATCGAGAACAGTGTCATGCGATGTCACAAGAAAATCGCAGAATGGTAAGTCTTCTTTAAATCTCTACTGTAATGTGATTTGTACTTTAATTGAACGTTGTTATCGTATTTTTTCCAGTGCTGTATTCACATGGACCAATCTCCTAGTGGTAGTGGTAGAACTAGACGGTAGTGAAAGCGAGGCTCTCGACCTCGTGGCTCTGGTAACGAGTGCTGTGCTCGAGGAACACCATTTGGTGGTCGGCGTAGTGGTCGTAGTGGATCCCGGTGTGGTTCCCATCAATTCGCGTGGTGAGAAACAACGGATGCACCTGCGCGACGGTTTCCTCGCGGACCAACTCGATCCCATCTACGTGGCGTACAATATGTGAACGAATAATGTGCAAGAGAAGGTTCTTACCTGCTCCGTATTCCGCCCTTCTCCCCGTCGACGTTTTTTATCCAACGTGCCGAGACTGCAATGGAATTCCATTTGCTTCAAGTATGACGATAGAATAAATAATCTTCGCGAAAATTTAGCTAAGAAAAATTTCTTTTTTTTGTTTTCGTTTACTTTAATTTATTTTATTTTTTGTTCGTGATTTTTTAAAATAAGAATTTCATATTTGTGTATGTGAATTTTAAAATTTCAAAATTTTGAAATCTGTAATTCCGCGAATTTTTAATTTCTTTAGATTTTTCTTCACAAATTCTTATGCACGAGTATGTACTTATCGGTAACAGAGAGGCTTCTCTTTGTCGGTAACTTACTTTTTTAGTCAGTCAATTATCTGCGCACGAAATCCACCATTGGATAATTTGAAAAAGATAAATGAACGAAAACGAATAAATATTTCGATAAATGGAGTTGTACTATGTGTATCAAGGAATATCAAGGAACATTAATGCGCACCAACAACGTGATCGTCACCGACAAAACATATACATACATATGTGTAAACTTGAAATATTTTCAAAAGGTTCAACTCTTGCCGCAAATTGTCCTTTGGAATTGATTAAACTGAAAAATCAGTATCAGCATTACATATACATGTATATGACACGCGATATGATAGAATAGCTGATGACAAATCGTAAGGTCATCGATGATGAATGGGAATTATAAATTTACAAATGATACCATTCATCGTTTTTATAACCAACGATTCATCGCGAAATATTCACCTATATCTTTCGACTATCGATAGTTTTTTGCGATTTGTTTCAAAACTTCAAGTGTTTTCCAGTAATAGTATAGGCAATACTATTGTAATACAGTGTATTGACCTTTTCCAACGAATGGGTTTCAATTAACGCACATTATCAGTCGAACACGACGATATTTCACACACAGTTCCCATTAGACACAGATTCGATTGAAATCAGAAATATCATATCGTTTTGTGTCACTCTATGGATATCAATATTTTTATCTTTAATATCATTTTGTATATTTAACATCTTTTATCTTTTCTATATTATGATGAAAAATAAATTTTAAAAACTTAAAACTTTGAAAAAACTACGCAAAGTGAATGCTCTGCTCTCTGGCGGTGAAATAAAGAAAAGCTAAGCAGAATGTAACACTATGTCATACAGTGCATGACTATGTTCTATTGCTGGAAAGCACTCTTCAATAACATAGCACACATACACATTCTACTAAATTTCAATTTATATTTGATTCTTGCAGTTTTGCGAAATGGAGAGCGCAAAAAATTTGAATTTATTAGACTGAAAAGCGCACATTTCTCGCGATTTTTTACATTTAAAACCAAAGTATACCATACGTATAACATGCAACATGGGCATCCGCAGAGGAGGGCAAGAGGGGGCATTTGCTTAGGAATCAGTAAAAAATTAAGCATTTACTCTCCTTGTGAATAAACACTGGAATTTATCTGCAATTTTATTGAATATCCCTAATAACAGAGCACAACATATCCGAAAGATATTCAGAGGATATTCAAGGATATCTAGAGGACATTCGAACATCCTCAGGATGTTCTCTGAACGTCTTCGAGATGTGTGCTATTAGGGATAAAAATATTAAAATAAAATAATAAAATATTAAAATAAAAAAATAATGAAAAATTGACTTTAAAGAATTAAGGAAGAATAATATAATAGGAAATTAAAAAAATTTAATCATGCCCTTCCCTGGAGAACGTTCCTGCAGACGCCCATGACATGCAACACACATGTCTTTTTACATTAGCTGTAATTTTCATTATAAAGAGAACAGAGAATTTTTCTCATTGGCAGAAATAAAACAAAGAGTTTCGTCGCTGATGTTTTTTGACGATTTAAGATGATCGTTTTTTTACAATTGTTAGTCGAGCACGTTTTTCTAATTTACTATAGAATTTCATTACAAATTTATTTGATTTTTAATCGGTCAATACAATTCTCCACAGTCTCTGCACAAATAAATATATAATCAACTAGCTCGCATGTATAAGGATGTAAATATATATGTTGCAATTTTAATAAAGCTGCATACAGTTTCCTTTTTTTTATTTATACATATTTAAAGAAAAACGAAAAATGTTAACCAAACGGCATACTTTACATACTAGCCTATATATGTAGATGTAAAGATGAGATTTTTAGAAGCGATTTTAGTAAACAAACGAGAAGAAATATTAAAATATAATTAAAAATTTAATACACGCAGAGATTTAGTATTAACATTTTGTACAAAATACACATTTCTCAACAGTTTTTATACATGTGGACCGACGAAACTCTTATAATAATTCTTACAATAACATAAAAATAATTAGTGAAGAAGATTTCTGAACTTTGTCTAGAAATGTCTGGAAACGTTGAAAGTTGTGTGATCCGGAAATAGTGTGATTGCGATTGTTTTCCGTTGAAAGAACAACTTTTTTACGGATATACAAAGTTGCGTGTTAAAAAACTCTTTAATTTTATATTCTAGTTTTAATGTAATGCGGCATATATATATATATATATATATATATATATATATATATATATATATAAACACATATTGTTGCGACTATTTGCGAAGCAGCTCGATTATAATAATAATAATCATATGTGCATTTTTCGTGCGTAAAAGGTTGCTATTAAGTATCACGAATACGAAGAAAAGGAAGAAACTATAGATTTGTTTATTAAAATAGCTTCTTTAGTCTAGAATTTTTTAAAATTATTGTATACATATTCTTTTTAATTGTAATCTCGATCGAATTTAATTTCATTTGAAATGAGATTTCGAGAAAAAACTAAATTTTGAATTTTGCGCTATTATTTATGATTTATTAGTCCGCGACACACTTGTGTGAAAACAGGATGAAACATTCGCACAAAAAGGACTAGTAATAAACGCGAAGTATTATTGATAAGCGACAAATTGGTCAGTGCAATATATATATAGTGATTTATAATCCCTTGCGGAGTATGATTAATTAATCGTACCGCAGATTTTCGATAATTATTCACAGGCGGCTTTTTATAAATACGTAATATGAGAAAAGAGCATTTCTTTTTCTCTCTCTTTTTTCCCCTCTCCCTCCTTTTTCTTCTCCTCTACTCTTTTTATTTTTCTTTCTTCATCCCTTCTTTTTTCTTCCATGTTGCCTTTTTTTCTCATTTCTTATCTTCTTTCCCTTTTATTTTAAAAAATCCGTCTGTTCACTCATTTTATTATTTTTTATATTCTTATTTCTTTCTTTTTCCACTCATTGTTAAGTTATCGTGCCATGTTATCTTGCGTTGATTTGTGCACTTTTTACGCACGGAAAAATGCACACGCCTGTAAATAGCCACTACGTTTATACACGCTCGGTTGCGTGTTGATAACATCGGTTATAATTAACTGTCATTAGTGTTATACCATTATTTCGTTTTTTTGTCTCGTTTAAGTTCTAATTTATTGCAGCTATGATATTACTATAATTGTAAACAAAGAAATGTTATAAATTAACGGCATAATTATTCATCGCCTTAATTAATTAGTTAATCATAACTGATCTCATCTCGTTCTCACTATTCATTTACCTTCATTTTTGACACACGAAGTGTAATTCTCTTCCTCTCCTTCTCCTTTTAATCTGGTTATAAGTTTACTTTATCAATTATAATTTATTTTTTTCTCCTTTTTATTCTCTTCCTCCCACAATTTTTTCTAAAAAACCTCTTATGTGGCACATGATATGTTTAGGATCGAATCGGGTTCAAACCTGGAACCTTTTGTTTAGCAGTCCGCGACTTTCCACGCGAGGCCACAAGTCACCCCATTCTCGCTTTTCTTTTTTACCTCTTTTATTTTTTCTTTTTTCTTCTCTTTCCTTCTTTTCACTCTTTTTCCTCTCTCCCTCTCTCTTCCTTTCCCTTTCTCTCTCTTTCTCTCTTCCATTAGCGGCCAATTCGAAATTTATAAACTTTTTCTTTTTGTTTTTAGCAAATATTTTATAAATACAAAAGTTTACGGTCAATTGATACGTTGGTGTAGCTGGTGCTTATACATAACAGAACTTATCACACTGAATCGGAATGAAAGATAATTAAACTTTGTTTTTCTTATTAGCATGTACAAAAGAAAACTGTTAAATAATTTTTTTATTAATTTTTTTTATTTAATCATACATTTTTTCGAGTTTTGCAGATGCAAATATATTACAGCATTATTTCGAAATTCAAAGACTGACTTTTCAATTTTTCAAGAAGTTTACACTTTCCTTCAGAAAGGATTTATATGTGAAAATATAATTACAAAACATTACTCTTACGCAAGATATCGGATTATAAAATAAAAATATTCTTAAAAAAATTAAATATAATTCTTCGTAAAAAAGTTTTATATTGAGCAGTTTTGCAGTAATATCAATTTTCTTCTTTATACGTAAAAGAAGAATGTAATACGTAAAAGTAGGAATGTGTGCAATAAATAACTTTTACATTGGACTTTTATACATATACGACAAGCAATTGTTATAATTTTATGTACAATGTCGATTATAACAATAGATAGTTGAATTCAATAACGTGTTTGGATTTAGAATCTTTGATATTTTTGTGTGATTCTTGATTCCACAGATTTATATACATATCCTTTTAACAATTTAACCATTCGTAGAAATTAGCATTTTAAAACCTTTACAAATATATTTTAATACTAATAATGAACAATCATAAGTTACTGAAGACCGAAAGGATATTAGGCAGAATGTTAATGGATTGTTGAATTTATAGATTCTTACAAAAAATTCTTCAAGTTATTCTCTATATATTTAAAAATATTTTATTAAAATACACATATGTACAATTAATTTGTTACTGCTTAAAAAATTTTTTGATTATATTTTCAGTTAAATTATGATTTTATATTAAAATATATTTATAAAAGGAATGATACTCATACATACATATACAAATAAAAAAAAAGTAAACGTTTATATTAATACAAATAATGATAGACGTTGAGAAATTAATAATAATACTTTATATATTACATACGTACTATATTTATTTATACATAATTGTTGAAAAAATGTGTGAGATTAATTATTTCTGTCAAATGAATTTAATTTTAAGAAGATATATCAATCAGAATTCAAAGGGTAA